AAGTTAATTGAAATCACTGAGCTTTGACTGGGGTAACTCTGCACTGGATTGCACTGTTAGCCTTCTGCTGAAAAGCCTTCTTCTAATGGAGGAAGCCTTGCAATATTCTTTCCACCAGAGTATGGCTCCTCACTTACAATGCAGTCCTATGCAGAGTTATACCATTCTAAGCCTACTGACGTCAGTAGACATAGGTGTAAACTACAGGGGGGGCTTGGGGGCTCAGGCCTTTCCCAAATTTTTCCAGGAAAGACTGAGCCCCCCAGGCAACCAGTGACAGGCAATATAGACTTTAAAACTTTCACATGTGGGGTTTTCCTCTCGGCTAGAAAGGAGGAAGTCAGGCTCACCTTCTTACAAATGCTAATTGAGCTGGCAGGACAGACAATGGGATGGTTAAACATCCCCCCTCCCCCTTCCCTTCTCCAAGCATATATGTGGAGGTACCAAATGCTAGAGTCTTTAGGAAGATAGATCTCTAGAGACAGGAAAAGCTGAGTGCGGAAAGAGATTTAATAACATTCCTTGCAACAGGAAGAGAAGATCGCTTGCAGCTGGATCCATCAGGTTTTTGGTTGTATCAGGTTAATAACTAAGGTTTTTAATATCCAGAACATATCAATTCTTGAATATGTTTGATGTCTGTTGGAAATTAAACTAAAGTATTTAATCCTGGCTGTAGGGCTGCCAGGTCCCCCCAGGAGGTGGGTGTTTGCCCACTCTAAAGGCCCCCAACCCGCTGGCCCAGATCCGGCCACCGGGGGGAACTTCCCACCCCAAAGTGCCTGAATTGGGCCGATGTGCCCGGCGCGATGACATCACCTGGAGGTGACATCATCACTCCGGGCACGTCATTGGGGATGCTATAGCATTCGGGGTTAAAACTCTATGGTACCATAGAATTTTAAGCCCGAACGCTAGAGTGTCCCTCAACAACATGCCCAGTGTGATGTCATTGCGGCGCACATGCACGAAGCTCCCAGGCACACACCCTCTCCCCCCCTGCTGGATGCCAGGTACGGACGTGGCAACCCTACCTGGCTGGCTCCACTCAACAGTCAGACTGTGAAGCCTCTGTTGGGCCCAGCATATTTGCTGGGCTAGGTCTCATTAGAAGCTTCCAGAAAAAGTAAAATGGTCCTTGTGCCTGGAATGTGCACATTTTCTTTAAGGCCAGCCCAGAAAAAAGAAAGCAGTTAGAGACCTGAATTTTCAACCACTCCTAAGCTCTTCTTTCAAGTTGCATTTCATTTTTAAATGGTAACCAGGGCTCTTTTTGTAGCAGGAACTCCTTTGCATATTAGGTGACACTCCCCTAATGTAGCCAATCCTCCAAGAGCTTACAGAGCTCTTCTTACAGGGGCTACTGTAAGCTCTTGGAGGACTGGCTAAATTAGGGATGTGTCGCCTAATATGCAAAGGAGTTCCTACTCCAAAAAGAGCCCTGGGTAAACCCATCTGCATGAACAAGATGGGGGGGAGGGACATGCACATTAGAGGTCTTTTAAAATTCCCTTTTACCCTGTCTGCAGCCCAGAGGGAACACTGGCAAGACATGTGTACATGTTCATGCTCTTCATTTTGCTGTTACTTAGAATGGTGTGGTACAGTTTCAAAGGAACAACTAACTGGGATGTATAAAAAGAATGACCGGATTGCCCATTGGAAACAATGGGAGAGGCTTGAAGGCCCATTGGACATTTTGGGAGCCGGGAATGCCAATTGACTTGCATGGGCTCCACTGAAATACATTGCAGCCCAAAAAAGGTTGCAAAGAATATGTGGAATGGTTTTTCCATTAAGATCTTTGGGCTAAGATAGGCTACTCTGGGACTGGAATGAAAGCCCTCAGAGTGGAATTAAGGTCCCTAGGAAGACAATCTGTGCTCTGCTACTGGAATGACAGTGCCCAGAGTGGAATGACGATCCCTAGCAAAAGAATTTGTGCTTTGGGATTGGAATTACAGGTCACAGAGTGGAATGACAGGACAGCCCCTGGGAATAGGATCAGTGCTCTGGGACCAGAATGACAGGTTGCAAAGTGGAATGACAGCCCCTGGGAATAGGATCAGTGCTCTGGGACTAGAATGACAGCCCCTGGGAGTAGCAGAGATGTTTTGGGACTGGAATGACAGTCCTCAGAGTGGAACGATAGTCCCAGAATACTTCTGCCACTCTCAGGGGCTGTCATTCCAGTCCCAGAATACTTTCACTAATCCCATGGACTGTCATTCCACTCTGGGGGCTGTCATTCCAGTCCTGGAACACTTTTGCTACTCCTAGGGACCACCATTCCACTATGCAAATTTAGAAGCCGCAGGGATTACATGATTAACATGGCTATCCCTATTTTATATATAATGTCTCCTCCTTCAGAATCCTGATATTATCCTTTGAATTGTTTTAGTCCACTATTCCATTCAATTTGCCATGGAAAGATTTGTACTTAGAAAGAGGAAAGTCCTTTCTGGTGCAGTTAAAGTTGTATTTCAGCAGACTGAAGATCATTTGTTGAAACCAAACGTGTTTTGTAAATTGAACCTGAAGGGCAGAAATTAACCATACACAGGAATGCAGTCATTTCCCATTAACTTAATTGTGTGATTTATTTTATTAATAGTTTGTTCTGAATGTCTGTGTTTTTAAGGTGGAGTTTCTAAGAAGTATGCTAAGAAGGCAAGGTATATAAAATCCTAGGTGGCATAACTGAGTTTTCTTTGGGGTCATGGCTATGGGCACTGTTCTCAATAGCCTCAAAATGTGCTTGTACTCACTTATAGGATATGAGTCTGAAGTGAGAAGAAGATTGCTGGTACTCTGAACTTTGTACATTGCTCAGAAATTGAGTGCACAGCAACTGTTTGGTATTCTGCCCTGGCTCAGAGACTTCAGCCATGCATTTACAAAGGCAACTGTGATGTCATAATTTAGAAAATTTCAGTACAAAGTCACCCTTATGAATAAGGCAGAAACAAGACTCCTGTAAATGAATGTCCAGGAAAACTTTTTAAATGTTCCCCTATGGGCTTTTCTGTGCTGCCTTCCCTACTGTCAAATTTGTGACCATTTGTCTTATGCACATGGTATGTATATTTGCAGATCTTAAAGTGACTATTCTAAAAGTGAATTTTTAAAAAAGGACACAGCAGGAAACTGCTGACATACCACTATAATCACTGGCCACTTCCCACCTTTTCCTGGGTTTAGCCCAGCCCAGAGGCATGGCTAGGTGTGTTCCCATGGGTTCCCAGGCCCCCCTAAATTTCTGGGGAGCCCTTTCCTAAATCCCACATGGCTCCGCCTCCATAGTGACAATGGCCTGTGATGTCACTGGCTCCTCCCTATGATGTCACTGGGCCTTTGCTCCTTTAAGCCTAGCACAGCAATGCCTCTGGCCCGGCCCAGCCCCCCCCCCATATTGGAAAGTCTACGCCCCTGTCAGTAGACTTAGCAGGGGGATTCTGGTTAAGACTGCAGTGTTATTGGAAGGGAAGTATAGGATATAACCATAAGTATTCTATGTAGTATAAAACTTTCTGAATCAGCAACAACTGAAGAGAAGTTCTGAGCAATAAATAAATAAGATGGACCACTGTTCCATCTAACTACCACTTTGCTATTCCTATTAGCATTTAGACCCTGACAGCCACAGCTGACAGAAAATGCTGCTTAGAATCCTTTTTCTAGATATCCTGTATATAATGAACACAGCCTAATTCACAGCCTCCTCAAATGAGACTATAATTTCCCCCTGGTACATATTCATGGCATGATACTCTTAAGACATTTATGCAATAGATTCATTTTAAGGGAAGGGGAAAAAATCAGGAGCTCCAAATTCAGGTTTTGTGAGATTTGTTTCACTAAATTCAAATCGAGTTAAAACAATCAACAAAGACTAGTTCACCCAATTCTTGAACTTAAAAAAAAACACTATACCCTGAGGCAATCACATTAACAAAATTCCTTTGGTGGAAGCAACTTCAGCTATCATTCCAGGAAATTTCGGCTTCCAGAATTACACGACTAATACAGCAGAATCAGAGCAGCTGTTGGAGCTCAAGTCTTTTTAACACATTGCTAATTAAAAGAGTGGAAGTACCATACGGAGTGCAAAAGAATGTGGAGATGTAAGGCTTTCCAAATCCTAAACTGTAAGTATTTTATTAAGCAAGCCAAAAAGTCTCATTAGAAGCTTCCAGAAGAAGTAAAATAGTCTTTGTGCCTGGAAAGTGCACATTTTCTTTAAGGCCAGCCCAGAGAAAAAGAAAGCAGTTAGAGACCTGAATTTAAAAAGGTGATTTTTAGTGAGCATATGAAATCTTATTAAGAAATGTCCATGCACTGATGTCTGACAAGTAAGTTTGAGGTTATATATCTAACAACTCAAAGTGAGCTCCATTTCCAATGCATTTTAAATACTTCCATTTCCATTGAAGCAACAGTTCCTAAAAGGTTAGCCCCCCTATTTTAGAGTCTATTAAATTATTTAGGAGATATTTAGATCAAAGGAGTTCTCTCTAGCTATTTGGGTTTAATGCACAACTGATAATGACCACAAAAGATTTCAGTCTAGTGTCTATTATCTTTCCACATCTGGAAAGTGACTACACAGCCTGACTCCTTTTTTTTAACCATGCTCATCTCTTCTCAGAAACAAAGAACTACAGAAGAGCTGTGGATAAAAATGGAATAGCAGGGTTCCAGGATAAATGTTATTAGGCAGAATGATGGAGAAACGGCTGTATAGTATTGATGGGATCCACAGGTAGCAAAACTATTCTCTCATCTGCAATCCTGAAAGTGCCACGGCAGGAGAGGAAAATCTGAATGGGCTGGAAGAAAGGCCTAAAGAAAAACATGGAACTGGCTTTAAAAAAACAACAGTGATCATGGATGCTGTACCAGAAGTCTTTTTGCCAGGTAGAATTCTAGCTACAGGGAGGAATATGGAAGGGAAGAAAGCATGTCATTAAGAAGACTCAGAAATACAACACTACCTTAGCAAGAATGTGCTTGTCCTTTATTATATACTCGTAAGTGGTCAAAAGAACATTAAATTTTCCACTACGAAGCTGAGGAACAAGAGATCGGCGCATAGCAGGTGTGCCCTGAATGAGAAAAGAAACAAAACATTTTCGAATTACACATCAGTAGAACAAGGATATATGAACAAAAGCATCCCACATTAGGCACATGTAACAAAATGACACTAACACGGTTGTGACCATTCGAAACCCTTCACAGATGAGGGTGAAGATTTAAAATATGTATATATAATAACTTTGTCCTCACAAACAGAAGGAGGACAGAAATCGTTGCTCAAACATTTATACAGCAGGCAGTCTCATGACCCTATACCTGCTTGCCTTCATAAGAATAGTGACGACTGAACTACCCCATGCTAAAGCATTCAGGAATGCAGAAATGTATATTATTTATCATTTCTATCACTCCCATCAGAATGTCTTGGAATATGAGCCTTTTCTACTGCATTTCAAAACCTGGATGTCATTATGGTCTATTACAGTAAATTTACTGATCAAGCAATTTTAAGTGCACCAATGGAAGAGGGGGAAAACTATACACCCAATTTTATATCCCCTATATAAAGAAAATCCAACCTTGTAAGAAATTTTCACCACAGAAGGGGCCCATTTGTCAAATTCATAAGTCCAGTTGGATAAAGTCCTATGTGAAATATGAAGAATATGAAACATATTAAAAACTAATTTTAACAGCTTCTGATAGCAATGGGGATAAACAGTTACAAACTCTACAGCCCCATTTTAAAACCACAACATTAATTAAACATGAAGGCTGCATGGAACTCCTTCACTGGTTAAAGGACAACCTTCTATAATCATGTCAGGGAAAGCTGGTTGTGTTTCAGCTCAGTTTTTCTTGTTCAGTTTGATTCAGGCCAATTAGACCAACTGAACTGCTTTAACCATTATCCAGTGTGGTGTGGTGCAAGTGGTCAGAGTGCTGAACTACACACTGCAAGAAATGGGTTCAAATCCCCAGCCTGCCATGAAGCTTGCAGGGTAATCTTCAACCATAAAGCCTAACCTACTTCACAGGTCAGTTAAGATTGTCTTCCCAAACCTGCTTTCTGTGCTCCAGGTTACAGAGGTGTGTCAGGTGGGGACCACAGACAGGGCTTTTTCAGTGGTGGTGCCATGCCTTTGCAACACCTTCCTCTTTGAGGCTCACCTGGACCCTACCTTGCTTTCCTTTTGATTGTCAAGCTTTCATTTTACACAGGTTCTCTTTTGGTAGCTTTTATAGACTGCTTCTAGACCATCTCATTTTAGGCTTCTCGGTTTAGTTTTATGCTATTTTATGTCTCGGACTTGTTTTCATGCTGTTGGTTTTACTGTACTGTTTTGAATGACAGTGTAATACACAGGTGAGAACACTGCTCATGACTTATTTTTTATATCTCAAGTCTTTGCTGAAGGCCAAAGATTTTCACTGAGAATAGAACCAACAAGAAGTCATTTCTTTAGTCTTGTTTGTAAAATCATGTTGTACGCAAGGCAACAAAAGATGCAAAACATCTGTGCATACTGCCAGACTGCATTTTTAGAAAGATGGTCACGTCTTTCTAATCCCTATATTTATAAATACAAATTTGAAAAATATCATTTAAAATGGTGAAGGTTCAAAATTTAAAAACAAACACATTTGGCTTTGGGAGAGGGTAATGCTAATCATTCCTCTCTATGTCTCCTACTACCTTGGTTTCCAGGGTATAAGCAGAGCTACATCTCATGTCAATGGCATTTCATCTGAATGGAGGGAGGTGTCCAGTGTGGTGACACAGAGCTTGGTTCTGGGCCTGGTACTTTTCAATATTTTTATAAATGATCTGGATGAGGGTGTCATCATTAAATTTGCAGATGACACCAACTTGGGAGGACCAGTGAACAACACAACAGAAGATAGAGAGAGAATTCAGTGAGATCTGAACACACTGGAAATGTGGGCAGATGTGAACAAGATGCAATTTAACAAGGATAAGTGCTGAGTTCTACATCTGGGTAACAAAAATGAGGAACACACATACTGGATGGGGGATACACTTCTGAGTAGCAGTGTGTGTGAACAAGATCTTGGGGTATGGGTGGACTGTAAGTTAAATATGAGCAGCCAATGTGATGCAGTGAAAAAAAGGCTGATGCGATCTTGGGGTGTATCAACAGAGGAATAACCTCCAAACCGCAAGATGTCATAGTCTCGCTGTACACTGCAGTAGTCAGGCCACACCTAGAGTATTGTGTGCAGTTCTAGAGGCCTCACTTCAAAAAGGACGTGGATCGACTGGAGCGGATACAGAGGAGAGCAATGAGGATGACCGGGAGCCTGGAGACCAAGCCCTATGAGGAAATGTTGAGGGACTTGGGAATGTTTAGTCTGCAAAAGGGGAGGTTGAGGGGGGACATGTTTGCTCTCTTTAAGTATTTGAAGGGCTGTCAGAGGAGGGCAGGGAGCTGTTCCTGTTGGCAGCAGAGGATAGTACTTGCAATAATGGATTCGAATTAAGGGAGGAAAGGTACCGGCTAGATATTAGGAAAAACTTTACAGTAAGAGTTGTGCAACAGTGGGATCAGCTGCCTAGGGAGGTGGTGAGCTCCCCCTCACTGGCAGTCTTTAAGCAACAACTGGACAAACCCTTGTCAGGGATGCTCTAGGCTGATCCTGCATGGAGCAGGAAGTTGGACTAGATGGCCTTTATGGCCCTTTCCAACTCTGTGATTCTATGATTCTATCTGACTTCAAGGCACAACTCGGCTTCAAATGGCATTGCAAGACATCCACCCTGCTATTTTGTTGTTTTCTTTCCACCTTATTTGAGTACCAAAGTGATTTTAATTCTCCAGTATTCTAAATAGTGCAGCCACAATAGGTTATGTTATAATTTACTGATAGCTTTATCACTCATTCTGATAGCAACTTTAGATTCCATAATTTTGATTTCGAGGGGCAGAAAGGAGGCACCCTTTATCATATAAACAAAACAAGAAAGCCAACAGACACAGTGGTATAAATCAATGTCGTCAAACAAGAGAATCTTAATAGAATTATAATAACTAATTTTGAAACAGCTTTATCAATTCTATTAAGGCTAAACATAACGACATTCTTTCCTGCAGATGCCCAACTGAAACTAACAGTGCAGTCCTAGGACCACTTTCCTGGGAGTAAAACCCACCAAGCAGACTTCAGTATGATTCTGAGAAGACCTGTTAAGGATTCCTCTCTAAACCCATGGGGTGTATGTGTCTGTATGCGTACATGTTTGCATTTAAATCCATACATGTTTGCATGCATATATATATTTGCATTTAAATCCAGAACTATGGGGCAAATGCAAAGACTGCTGATTAGCCAGTAACTGAAGATAATAATTGCAACACCTAGGCAATCAAGTGTGCTGTACTGGGGGGAGGAAGGGTGGGTCATAATTTAGAACTGCCTCTTCAAAGAAATCCCTTAAATAACTTTAAGGAAAATGTTATTCATGCCATACAAGACAGAAAATTTTATCTCTTGCAGTCACAGCAGAAACAAGCGATAGTGACTAAGTGACACTGTAAAGCTTGCCTGCTAAGTGCTTTTATCAGCCATCTGGTCAGCAATGCCAGATAATCCATGTGGGAAGAAGAGGAGATAATCACAGACTAAATCCAGAGTATACACTCTGCTCAGCTTCTCTACATGCTTTGTCTAGCCATTAAGTGAAAAAGTACACCCTGTTAATGAGCCAATCTGCATAGCATAAAAAAAATATCATTAGGAGAAGTTCATCAACTTACGAGAGGGGAACAATGATGAGATAGGGGCCATTGAGCCTTTTGTGTTCCATCAGATAAGTGATGAGTGCAATCGTCTGTATGGTCTTTCCGAGCCCCATTTCATCAGCTAAAATTCCATTCAAATTGTTATTATACAGAGAAACCATCCATTCAAGCCCCTGGATCTGAAATGAAGGAGATTGCTTCAGTTATCTAGTATCCATGCCCACTGTAATAATTCAAGCAAACCTTTTAACATCTCTGACCTGGTGGTAGGTGCTTCTCAGCTGAGGATGTGTTTGTTGCAGTCAGTACAATGGAAAAGGCAAAATAAAAAGTTCCCTATACAAGGGAATGCAGGCCTGAGTATAGAATGTGTTTGCTCCTAAAACTGATTTAGAATTTGGGCATAACCCTCCTCTCTTTAATGTGGCATCAACTGAGATATACTTTGGACTCAACAGTTCATACACACCTTGATTTTAGATTTTTCCTCAGCCTCCTTTTAGAACAACCCTATCCTTCATATTGCATGTGGCAACAAATCTATCCTGAATATTCTTCATATATTAAACAGAGTTTGAAGCCATGATTTCAAGAGGATTTGCAAACTCTGGTTAAGGAGGAACCTGAATAACATGAAATGGCTAGTGTCAGCACAGATGCAACAGTAAATTGTGGTTAAAAGAGAGAAGGGAAGGTAAAGCAGAGTCACACAAGAGGAGAAGGAAAAAGTTCAGTTTTTAAATTGAGGCTGGCTCCTGATTTGCAAGCCATGGACTGAAGGGAGCCAGCTTCATGTCTATACCAGACCTCAGTCAGTTATGGAGACAATGTTCAGGACAGGAAGGACTCTGGTAGGCAGGCATCTGGTTTGCGACACCATCCTGCATCACCACTGGAATAAACATATAAGCATGTAGCTGAGAGGGAGTTCACAAGCCAAGGAGTTCTCAAAAACTGCACAGGGCAAGAAATGAATGCTCTCAAAAAGAGAACGTTCTTCTTGCACGTATGCAGTCTGGCGGCTCAGGAGAGATGGGTAAGCAAAACAATATGCTTTAAGGTACTGAATGCAGAGAATAGAGAGCCTGAATTACTACATTCTAACATATTTGTTCGGTGAAACTGATTTTTTTTGTTTTGATCTTTAACAGGGAGCCTCCTTATGCCATGCTTTAAGAGCCCCTGGTTTAGATGCACTGGTTTAAAGATGCACTAAAAGGAGTTAAAATAAATGGAAAGCAGTTAATGAATAAATATGAATGCAGTCTCCAGCTGGATGCTTACCTGATAATGTTTTAGTGTGCCATTAATAAGAAGAGAAGACTGCTTGTCTACTCTCTCGGCGATTGCATGAGCCACTGTATAGTAAGACTGAGACCCTCTGGCACTATACTGCATGCTGTATTCATCATCCACATCTTGTTTGGCTGTCCTTCAAAGCAAGTAAACAGATTCATTTGGAACTTCATGTTACTAAAGAGTCTGAAATGTTAGCAAGCATTCCTCATTCAGAAATCAACTGCAAAAATATATACGGCACAAAACAGGTTCCTTCATGGAGCGAGCAGGCATTTCAAATCAGACTCACTCAATTATTTGTTTAGCATCTCGCTCAGAAACATCTTCGCTGTTTGGATCCAAGTGGATCTTCTCATCTGTCTCTTGTCTACTTGAGTCCTCTTCATCGTCCTGCAGAAAAGACCAGCCCAGGTGTCATAACTGTATCATTAGTCAGCACTAGGTAAAAGTAAGATTCATTTTTTCATGATAATGTATATATTTTAAACAATTGTGTCTTAACAAGCAGTGCTATTATTGTAATAATATTTTTGTTACTTTTATGGGCGCACTGCATCAGAATTTTGAAAATATTGTCATATCTTCCTTGCCTCCCCCATTTTTAAAATACTTGATAAGGAGAAAATTCTCTCTCATATGAGTTCCAGACACCTGTCATGGGGCATGATATTTTGAGAGTGTTCCATCACATCATAATCTGTGGGAAAATACTTCTATAAAGCCATATATATCCATTAGAGCTGGGTAGTATCCAAAACTATTTGCCAAAAAGACAATTTTTCATTTAAAAAACCAAAATTTAAGCGTATGTAGATGACCACAACTACTATCACAGCTATCTCCTATTGCTGCTCTTAATTTCCACTTTTTATATTGTCAGCTACCTAAATGCTCTCGTTTCATGGGTAAGAGACAGAAGTGAGTAAGAGGTGACACATTTGAGCACAACCAGAATGTGCCTGAAGTTAAGGGCTTTGTATTTAGTATAAATACAGGAGTTCCCAATAAGCATGGACTATCTTATTAACTGCAACTCTGTAGTTAAGTGGACCTTAGAGCTCAAAAGGCTGCACCCCTCCCAAATCTGAGGCTTTGAACCCAATTTGTCAGTCTTTTGAGATGGGAACTTAGAACTCATTGTGTTCAGCAAAGAAGACAGAAGAAAAAAATGCCATAACATTCTCAGATGAACAGCTTACAGTGCCATCCTAAGGAGAGTTATACCTTTCTAAGTCCACTGACATCAGTGGCCTTAGAGTGATGTAACTCTGCTTAAGATAGCACTTACAATCTGCAGCCCTCATAGCTGATCTCGATACAGGACACAGGATGAGAAAGACAATAACAGAAACCAGCCTCACTCCTTCAACAGAATCCTTTTCACCTTTTCTCATCCCAGAGTCACAGCAAAGAGTCTTTGAAGAATTATCAAGAATTAATCAAAGCACACTCAGTCCCCATTGCTGGTCTATAACTATGAACATCTATTTTCCTAGCTGTTGCTTAACGTTTTTAAATACAGTTTTCCATAATGTTGAATCCAGGCTTGATTGCTAAAGTGAAAAAACATACCAACAGCTGCATTTCACATTTTCTCCCTCCTACCTGAAGCATCATTGTTTTTTAATGAGGGACTGATTAAAAAGATAACAGATAAACAAATTTACTTATATGAAGATTTTTTAAAAAGGACTTAAGTAGACAAGATACTCGCTGTGCTGAACAATTACAGCTAGTATCTGCTTTAATAGAGGATAAATTCTAAAAATGAAAACCTCATTGTTTATTGTAATTCATGGCCATTCATAATGGAGAGAAATATTTATTCCTTCACTGCCTAAACATCTACTCTACCTTCCCTATTAATTAATAGGATTATAATACAGCAATTTCCCAGCCATCACATTGAAGATTCTTGTTTGCACCGGAAAAGCCTAACAAATTAGCATTAACTTGTGGCTTCTGTTACCAGTTACAATACAAAGGAAGAAAATGATACTTAAACTGTATTTTAATGCTAGTTTTCCACTATTTATCGTGTAATATTATAATATTGTTTATTTTAATGCTAGTTTCCCACTATCATGCAATATTATAATATTGCTTATTTTAAAGGTTATAGCTGTTTTTGCATGCTTTTCACGCAGTGAGTAAAGAATCATTCCCCCCCCCCAAATTACAATTATACATTTTAAAAATAGATCTATCAAAGTGAGGCCTTCACTTACTTCCTCCTCATACTCAGAGTCACTTTCTTCTTCACTGTCTGAACGAGGAGCGACTTCATAGCTATTGGGGAAGAAAGAGATGAGAGAGAATGAAAAAGTGAAATGCAGACCCCCCCAAATATAGGTCAAGATAAATGTGTATTTCAGAAAGGCAAAGAATGAGCAAATACATACATGTAAAGCCAAAAAAAAAGTGAAGTGTTTGTGGAAGGGTTTGTTTGTTTGTTTTTGCTGACTCCTGGCTACTTACCCAGGGTTCATTTCTAACCAAGCATCCAACTGACTTGCTTTAGGAGCCTCTGATCCAAGGAGGACTTTGCCCGTTTCAGTGTGAGTTACTTTGACTGGGAGATCACTCATCTGACTGCTCTCATCTATGGGCTGAAGATTAAGGAGAAATGTAGAGCTTAATCTTTGAAAAACACATCTCTTTCTGACAAGAACAGTTCATAACCAAATCAGGCTTCAAGGGAAAATCCTTCCCAATTCCAATCAGCATGAATCAAAACCATTCAGAAGTTTGGTTTTAGTATATGATAAACATAGAGTATAGTCCATTAAGTACACTGAGCCAAAGTGTCAGGAGTATATTATGTCTAAAAATAGCAACATTCCTTTCTGTTTCTTTGTTGCCGCTCATATACAAAATAATTTATTAAAAGTTGCACTTTAAAGTTTAATATTGCTTAATGACATATGAACAATATTTCAATATATTTAACGAATCTCGAGGGGAGGGTTAACACTGATTCCTTCCATTTTTTTTTAAATCTACTGCTAATGAGTGGCTAGATGTCTCCCCTATTATCTATCCTCAAAACAAGAAGAGACTTTAAAAAACCACCCTTTTGTCATATTATCAGCATAAGATGCCAACATATACATGCACCCAGATAAACTTTCTACAGACCTTTATAGCATGCTCATTAGTGAGATAGCTCATTAACTGCAAAGGCCCTCATTAAAATCTTCAATTAGTTGTGTTGGACAAAGTGTCTTCCATTAAACTAATTTACTACACATTTTATTACATGCCAGAAACAATACATATAACTACTTGTGTATGTTTGCTTGATTAGTTAGGCTGTAACAATCCAATTTGCCAGATCAGCTGTGGACCATGTTAAAAAGTCTGCTTTTACTTGTGAAGGAAAAAAAAGATAAACAGGGTTGCACTGTGAAATGTGAACAAAGTACAGCTGAATCTACAGGCTAGGCTTTTGGACAATGTCTTCCAAATTATATTATTTAAGAAAGCATTGCACAAACCATAAACTTTTTAACTACAAAATCATTTCTTTATTTATACCGAACCTCCATGTGAGACTGTTAATTTTACACACAAATCACTCCTTTAAAGCTTTTACGTGGCTGGTGAAAATTCTGAAGTTTCATGAACAAAAATCCAATGTTGATTTTTATCAATCTTTGTAAAATTAATTAATTATTCTAATACTATTTACTCGGGATGGAAACGAACTGGCTCATGAGCCAAAATTCGGGCCAAACTCGGGCCAGTTCACAGCTCAGGAACCAATGTTCAGGGAAGGAACATTCCCCAAACATTTACCAGATTTTTGGACGATTGAGCTGTTTGGGGTTTCAGTCTCTCTCTGCCGGCTCAGCTGTCTCGGGCTCCCACATGTTGCCCCTTTAAATGGGCTGCGCAAGGAAGCCCAAGACAGCTGGGCCAGCAGAAAAGAGGAAGTGAAATGCCCCTGGGAGACACTTCACCCCCATATTTAACCCTCTGGTTTTGCTCCCCTGCTTAGAAGGGTTAAATGGCTGGCAAAATCGAAGGGTTAAATGGCTGGCAAGCCACAGCCAGGAGAAAGGAGGAAAGAAAGTCCTTTCCTGGGCAATCGCCATCCCCTTTCTCCCAGCTGCAGTGAGCTGAGGCCAGGAGAAAGGGTGAACTGACCTTGACGGACCAGTTCAGTTTGAAGTTCAGCCTGTGGGCCGCCCTGGACCCCGAACTGAACCATCTTTTTTTAGGTTCATGCCCATTCCTACTATTTACCTTTCATCTTCAAGAAGATTACACAAGGTAACGCTGGTCATTTTACCACTTCAGTATGAAAGCCTCAAATCCTTTTTTTTTTTGTAGTATTTTCATATTTTTATAAGTTACATTACAGAAATTCATAAACATTTTTAGGCTCATTCCTAAAGCCCTATACTAAGACTAACAGCTTGGGTACATTGGCCCTATTCTTGTTCCTTTGACCTTGCTGAACACATTTGGATTATGGTCAATGGCCATTATGAACTGAGGGCAAGGCCGTCTAAAGAGAAACAAAGATTCTTACCTCTCCATCAGGACCAAGTCCAGATCCCATTCCTTCTGTATTATCTTCTGCCTTCTGTAACAAAACGGTATGGTCAAACTAAGAAAATTAGGAAAATAAACTGTATAGTATGTTATACTTGGAATATTTTATGTCTACCTTAGATATGAGGAAGACACAATGTGAGGCGGATTGCCAGTAAAGGAAGCCACAGCCTTCAGTTTGCAAGTTCTCAGCAAGGCTATTAATGATAGGGCATTTTGGAGGTCATTAATTCACAGGGTCACTGAAAGTTGGAAGCCACTTGACAGCATATCACTTTAGACATAAGAATGGGCATGACACATACCATGAATACATTCTGGACAATGAATTGTTTCTGGGGGGACATGAATGCAGAATTCTACCTGTAAATTAATATAACTTAGCATGTTTTTAGTGTTCTAAAAGGTAAAGGTTTCCCTTGCTCGAAAGCCAGTTGAATCTGACTCTAGGGATGCGGTGCTCATCTCCGTTTCCAAGCTGAAGAGCCAGCGCTGTCCAGAGACGTTTCTGTGGTCATGCGGCCGGCATGACTAGACACCAAGGTGCATGGAACGCTGTTACCTTCCCACTAAAGTGGTACCTATCTATCTACTTGCAATTTCTTGCTTTCTAACAGCTAGGTTGGCAGGAGCTGGGACCAGAGACAGGAGCTCACTCCGTCGTGCGGCACTCGGGTCTCGAACTGCTGAACTACCGACCTTCCAATCTGCAGTTCAGCGTCTTAACCACTTGAGCCACCGAGTCTAAAGAATGACAATCAGGAATGGAAATTAGGCCTCATAACTCTTGTCAGCCACTGGAGTGCTAGTGGAAAATAGTCACTGTGGGCTGCAGATTTCCCACCCCCAGTGGGGATTTGGCAATCCTAGTTGTACCAGGTTCAGAGATTAAGCTCTGCCAAACTTTCCTTTAATATAGTGTAGATTCTATAGCATACAAAAATGTCAAAACATTGCTGTCACTAGAATAAAGAGATATACAATACAGAGCAGCCCAATTTTAAACAAGTAGGTAATCTTGTACTGGCAGCTCGATCTGTGCATGTTCCCCTGTTAATTTCCTCTTGCTGTTTTCTCAACACATCCTGGTTCTCACTCATCACCTGCCCTCTTCCTCATTCTAATTTCTTCTATCTCTCATTTGTTCTCTATCATGCTTTTCTGCATGCTTATTTTTATCTATTTATTTCCATTATTCCCTATCCATATCACTAAGGACTCCTTCCAATGACCTTCTCTACATGGGTCTGAATATCCATGCACTAAATTATACACATTTTCATATTATGCATCTACTAGTAATAAAATACACCTTCCAAATAATTGGGAAGAGATCATACAAATCAGAATATTTGTAACAGAAAATCTGGCTCTTTGTAACTGCCAGAAGATGAGTACATCTTGTATTCGGGTATTGCATGCCAAACAAAAAATGTCATGTAAGGAATAACCCATATTTCCCCTTCTCTTTTTACGTTTATTTCCTCTCGTTCTGTTTAGAAGAAACCGGCACCTTTATTATTCACTACTAAACACCCTGAGCCAGCCTCGTACCCAGAAATTTTGTTGGGGGGCCCCAAGGGGGCAGTTCAGTACAGTGGAGCTGACTACATCATAGGGTTGTTGTTCTTAGGGAAATATAGAGGAGGAGAGACATGGCTAGGTAAGAGCTGACAGGTAAAAACAGGGGGAGGGAGCAGCACATGGGGCAGTTCAGAAATAATAAAGGCCAGGATTTTTGTCTGGGAGTTTATTTTCTCTGAATCGTTGTGCATTGCTCTGGAATCAAAGCCTACACCCAGAAGATCCAAGATGTCTAGCAAGCATTGCTGAAGGAGCTGGGAGAGCCCTTCCAGGTTTTACAGACACAACCTGGTTCCATTGGCTAGCTAGCAGCAGGACAATAACCCCCCTGAGCAGCAACCCCGGTGCTAACCAGCTCTTCTCGTTGCATCCCCTTCCTATACCCCCCCCACCTTTGCGGGCAATCCAAGAGGAGAGCAAAGACAGGAACTTTGTTTTGCACCTCCTGAAGGGGCTCAGGCATTACAATCGAACCAGCAGCAAGCCGAGTTTGGGCTGAGACATGCTTCCCTTCCCCTGGCAAGCCAGGTGGCTGAGGTGGGCACTTCATAGAGAAAGGGGAGGGGGAGGCACTGCTGTTTGGGGAGGGTGCCGGGCGCTCATAGGCACCCCTGTGCGTATGGGCCTGCCCTGAGCCCTTTGCTTTTGTCCTTTACAAGGACAACACACTTGGATGACTGAGAACTTGCTGGCTGGTTTTAGCTTCCTTGCCTTTTCTGTCTCTAGATGGGGGCTTCACTGTGGTGGCAGCTCATGCTGTGGCACCAGCAAGGGGTAGGCAGACCCTAAGGGGCCGGTGGGTGGCATTCAGGCAAATTCTGGCAGCAGGAGCCATTTGGGCCACTTAGAGCAATTTGCTGCTGCTTTTAACAGCAAGCAGCTATGAATGATGTCTTCCTCATTTGCACCAGACCCACCCTTCTGTATTGACTGCTGCAATGAAGCGAATCGTGAGCCCTGAAATCAGCCCAGAGCTGACATTCTGCTTGCTTGCCTCAGTGTTAAAGAGCTGCTCAGAATTAAGAGTTAAGAGGACACATGTGAAAAGGACACATTTGTATTAGTCAATATTTTTTCTTGAGCAGCCCCCTCCCCAGGAAGGATTGGTCCCGTCAATTACAAGGGGAAAAGGTAAGACATACACGCCTTTCACACCTACATCTAAAACACCATATGAGGAGCTGCCACTACATGCAAAAATGACATGGGGAAAATTAGTGTGAAGAAAAGCAGATGAGGAAAATGCAATAAAAAGAGTGAGAGAGCACACACTACTGATAGTTCTTTTGTGAACATTAATATCTCACTCTGAAGATAAAAGTGCTGATGGTTCTAAATTGTCAAATATTAATTTGCCTTATGTTTTAAAGCTGGAAGTACCTTAAATAATTAAAAAAATAAACGAGAGGGGTCAAACTAAAATGGATACAGGTATCTAGTGTTCAGTGCTTCTAGTTTGCTTCTATATTTGCACAGCCCTGAAACAGTTACTCTCTTTACTGTTTTATGTGGTCAGAATTGGAACATATAATTTTTAAAAATTTATTAACAGTGATTAGCTACATCTATATATATAAAAGAAAGTCCCCTCAATGTAAAATCAATGCCCAGGCCAAGCCACTGGACCTAGAAACACCAAATTCGGGGAGAGCGCGCCTACCATGGCGTAGATGCTCACTAAGAAGGGATTTTTAGAAATTTGACTCCTAAGTGGGTCAAAAGGGGTAAAATGTGCTCCCCCATTGATTCCTATGTGGCTGCCAGGCAGCTGCCTCCCTGCACCCCCCACTCTCTGATTGGTCAGCTGCAGAGCTCAGTTTTCTGAGGGGGGAAAAACAGTTATAGGGGACTGCAGAGAGCTAATGACAGTTGAGGAAATCAGGAGTGGCCAACAACCACCTGTGAGGTGAAGCAAAGCTACTGGCCCAGCCTCTCTGATGGCTTCCAACACACCCCCCCCCCCACCTCCTACACCTAACAGGCAGTTGTCTGTCAGGTACAGCAGCGGTTGCAGGGTGTTTAGAGCCCTGAGAGAGCCCACTCCAGCAGTAACGCCTTAGTGATCCTGCTGGTCCTGCCTCCACAGTGGCTTCT